ATATATATATATACAGTAAATATCTACCTTCACGGAGCGATTTTGTATATGTTAACAGGATATCTTTCCAAGATAAGTAAAATTCTTCAACATTAGTGGAGCACCATTTTCTTTCCAGCTTTGTATTCGCCTGTTTTAAAGGACATAACTCAGAATTGAACCAAAGAGCCAGTCTGCTCTGATTCATTACTTTCTTTTTCAGTGATGATGAAATGATGAGATCTCTCTCCCTTTGCTCACCGTGCGACACTGTCTTGATCTCAACAGTTTTTGGGATCTTCTCATCTCGAGCCCATCCTGCGTTCTTCCTACTCACCTGGGACTTAAATAAAGTGTTCACCAGAGTTGACTTTCCAAGGCCACTGTGACCTGAGGGGAGTTCAAAAATGAGTTGAACAGCAAGCTCAGACAACAAGTGTGAAACAAATCAAAACACAAGAAGAAGGTCCACTGTGACTCACCAACCACCATGATGTTGAAGTCAAAGCCAGTCTTCATGGTCTTCCTCCTCATTTGTTCGATTATGGTGTCAATCCCAATGTACCCCAGCAGAGTGGATCCTCCACTTGAGCTGTGGGAGCCTCCATGGCTATGACCCACGCCGTGCGCTGCAGCGTGACCCCCGACATGCCCACTGCCGTGGCTTGGACCGTGACCGCCAACAAGAACTGGAATGGCACTCGGAGGGGGAGCAGAAATGCCACCTCCTCCGATACCCAGGCCCTGGGGTGGAAACGGGCTGGAAGGGGAGGGAGCCCCCACATTTGGGGGCTTGGCAGGGACGGCTGGTTTGGGTCTGACCTCTGGTGGAACTACGTCTGACATGTCTACAAAGATGGAAAACGACAGAGGTAAATAAGAGAGTGGGGAAAGTGGGTCAGTGGAGCAGCGTAGGCTTCTTGATGCTTTACTTGTCCTACGCTGAGGAGATGGATCAGTGGAGAGGCCGCACGGGCCTCAAACCTCACACATGCTCACGGTTCAACATACTTCATTTTTACAGAGAAGCACCAAACCCCTCTGCTACAAGAAGACCAACGTCCAGGTTGCACTCCTCAAGTTCGCTGCTTCAATTCTTCCTGGATAACAAAGTTAGGAGGACATCCATGAAACAAGCGGTACATCAACGTCCACTGCCGCTGAAGATGAAGACGAAGAGGAAGAGTGCATGTTTGTAGTTTGACACAAGTGTTTTTCTGGACTGGAACTGAACGAGGAATGAAGTAAACCTAAATGTTTTTGCTGCAAGATGTTCAAGAGAGGAACACTTACACTTTGTCAAATATTTGAGATACGTTTTTTTGTTGTAGCCACCTGAAGGAAAATATGTTTAGTGACATGAGGTTAAAGTGCGTGAAGCAGACGGTAACTTCCTGCCTGTTACTGCTGAGATGATGATAACCTGCACGAAGCAGACGGTAACTTCCTGCCTGTTACTGCTGCGATGATGATAACCTGCGTGAAGCAGACGGTAACTTCCTGCCTGTTACTGCTGAGATGATGACAAGCTGCGTGAAGCAGACGGTAACTTCCTGCCTGTTACTGCTGAGATTATGACAAGCTGCGCGAAGCAGACGGTAACTTCCTGCCTGTTACTGCTGAGATGATGATAACCTGCGTGAAGCAGACGGTAACTTCCTGCCTGTTACTGCTGAGATGAT